GGGGCCAGCGGCCGCGACAACAGCCTTGGCCGCGACCTCAACCGCAGTTTCCCGGATCAGTTCAGTACCGGCGAGCCCCCCGCCCTGGATGAGGTGCCCGAAGTGCGCGCCCTTATTGACTGGATCCGCAGGAACAAGTGAGTGTCGCCCACCGCCTTTCTCCACCCACGTGAGCCTCCAAGGGCAGAGGCTGGTCCTGAAACCCAGTAGGTGCCCTAGCATTGCTTGCTGGCCGAAGGGGTGGGAGTAGTAAGGGTGGAGGAAGACACCCTGTAACAGGGACAGGGCCCAGGCCGCTCAGCCTCCTGTCCCGCTAATCGCCGCAGAAACATTGCTGTCACCTGTGAAACAGGCTGTCACCTGTGCAAGGGATGGTTGGAGGAGAGCTCCTTTCTGGCATTTTGGTCCCTACTCTCACCTTAGATTATGGGCGTTGGAAAAGACCTTAAGGGTAACCTAGGCCAGTTTACTCATTTCGCAGATATGCTGTCGGTATTACTGTCTTAATACTGTAGGCACCGTTTTAATCTTTCCATGACTGCATTATTCCACTTTATGTCGGCCACACCTTGAGGGCATAGAAACCATCCATGTCTCTGTTTTGCATACTGGGAAACTGTGGATCAGGTTGGTTAATTTGGTTAAGGTACGGAGTAAGCGGTGTCAGAGTGAGACTTATGCACTCCCATCCCTAGTTAGTGCTCTTACTGGCTAAGCAGGGAGATGGTAGCCCAGAAACTGTAAATGACAAGCCCAGGTTATTTGATAGAAGGTGGTTCTCTTTCAATCTCTGACTCAGCTGAGGGGTATATGGACTTGGATGGCGAATTTGAGCAGACCTTTGAGCAACTTCATTTAGACTCCGAAGAGTTTCTGATGCTATTCGTGCATCTAACATTGGCGGGATTCTAACATCTAACATTCTGGGAAGAATGACTAATTGTCACACATAATACACACCTTGCATGGTATGAAGCACGGTGTGTGATTTATTTATTTTTAAACATTTGCTAAAGGGTATGTGACTTACTGGAGAGAGACAGAGAGAGAGGGAAAGTGAGAAAGCATCCCCGGCTCTGGGGATGGTCACAGTGTAATTTCTTCTCCTTCATTTCTCCTTTTGGGATTTTGGGCATGCACACACACATAGCTTGCGTTTTGAGCTACATGCCTATTCGGCCATGGGGGATCCACCTGTCCTAACCACCATGTGACTGACTGGCCCAGTGAGTGGTTTAAAAAAATTAAAAAGTGGAAGCATGAGGACCTCACGAAATTTGTATATAGAAAGGGAATCTTATGATATGTGGTGTGTTTATGTACTCGGTTAAACTTTACAGGAATTGTTCCCACCAGGAAAGTATACACGGGCTGCAAGAACATGGACCATGCTTGTAGAAGAGATAGAACTTGAGCAGTCTTGAGAGATGGATAGGATTTCAGCAAAAAGGAGAGGAGAAATAAAGGAGAGGAAGTGAGCATGCACCCTGTTATTTTTCAAAGCATTGGCTTTGTCAGCAAGCCCCCATTTTTATGTTTTCATAAGGCTTTTGAAGTAATAGTTCATCTTTCCCATCTTGATTTGAGACAGATTTCTGAGTGATAGGTACGATAAAGGTAAATAATGAACAACGAAGTTTCTCTATGCGACCTGGAATGATTTCTTTTATAAGACTTGTCATATATAGCGAATACAGAGAATTTGTAGTCATTAAGACAGTTCTAGATTTTTTTTTCTACATTTATGTATTTATTTCCTCTTGAGAGAAAACCATAGAAACTGGCATCCTCACCAGGGTCTTCACACAATGATCCAGACTGAGTCTCAGCTGGCCTGGATCACTTGCACTTGCCTGCCCTCCCAGCTTGCTCAAGGAAGTCCCAGGGTCTAAACCCAGGGCTCTTCCCACGTGGGTACAGTTGTGTTAATCATGTTCTTTGGCCCCACTTTCAGATTTTTCTTTCTTCTATCTTTTGCTTTATTCTATTAGATCTCTTGTACGTAATTAATCTAACATATAATTTTTTTGGAAAATGACCTCTGAACATCTGCATAAAAATATGACTTTGACATACACTATCGTGAGAAGCTTTACTGGCCAGGGCTTTTCTGAGATGATATATCAAATCCACTCTTGGCATTGCTTAAATACTTAAAATGCCCAGTCATGACCCTTGAAGGGATACAAATTCTGTGACCGATTTTTCTTTTCAGTATTATGCTGTGACCAAAAATTAAAATGAGCTTTCTCTTGGTAGAAGTCACTTTGAAGCTATGCTGAAAGCTTTAAATGCTAAATTTAGTACTCAAAATTCTCTCTCTGGGTAACGCTTTTATATTACTAGTATTTAAATATTATAAGTTATGATCTGGTCTGGTTAGTTCAATGACAAGAGTTTGTGAGGATGTTAAAAGCTCATGTGTCAGTTGGTGTTACATTAAAGCATCATTTTGTTCTGTGGCTATGGACTACTCTAAGCATATCTAACATGTTTTTCAACATGTATTTCAAGCATAGTTTCTTCATAATATCATTTTCTGTGAACTTTTTTGAAGATACTCAGTTTGTATAAAATATTTTAATTTCATCATTAAAGTAAGTACTTTTTAAAGAATTTTTAAAACTTTATTTATTGTTATTATGTGTTTTAATTTGACCAGAGAGAGAGAGAAAGTGAGAAAGCAAGTCGCTAGGTCTGAGACTCAAACCACAGTCAGCCATGTGGGAGTTCGGCATCTTTAAACCACCATGCTACCTGCCAACCTCCAAATAAATATTTTTTTTTTTTTTTTTTTTTTTTTTTCCTTTTTTTTTTTTGGGTGCATGGCAAAACCAACCTCCAAATAAATATTTTTTTTTTTTTTTTTTTTTTTTTACTCTTCTGTTATAGGGTGCATGGACTCCCTGGGGAGAGGTAAACACACACACACACACACACACACACACAGAGAGAGAGAGAGAGAGAGAGAGAGGGAAAATGAGAAAGCAAATTTACCAGGTACCACAGTCCCTTCTCCATTCTCCTCTTGGAATTTAGGGCATGTACATACATGCACCCGATGCAGGGCTTGTGTGTGTGTGTGTGTGTGTGTGTGTGTGTGTGTGTGTGTATGTACGATTTCCTGAATCTTTGAAATTTAGATAGCCAGACATCAAGGTTTCTTAATTTTTGAAATGTTATCTAGAGGGTTATCTGGAGAGTGAGCATAATAGAGTTAATTTAGAGACTTACTTTTGAATAGTTATAGCTTCTTGTTTTGCATTTACTTAAATCTTATACCAGGAGTGACTTACTAAACTCAGGTATGAGAAACACTTGAGAGAATTGATTTGAAACCATAAAATGCCTTCCAGGTAAAATTGGAGTAAATATACAAAATTGGTTTGATAAAGATTCAAAGCCCTAATCTTAGGAGCACTATTAATAGGTGTCACTTTTTCTTGCAATCCTTATTATAACATTGATACTTTAGATAGAAATTATTTAAAGGACCAGCAAGCAGTGTGATGATTAAAACAGCTGGATCCCACATGGCCAACTTGAGAAACATGCCCAAAATCCCAAAAGAAGGGAGAAATGGAGAAGGGATTGCGGCATGTCCATCCTCCATAAAGGTGCTTTCCCATGCTCAGTCTCTCCCCTTTTCTCTCTCTTGCTCTCTCTAGTAAGTGCACACATGCACATAAGAATGTGAGGGGATGGGGAGCACCTTCTACAGGGTCTGCTCACTCTGTTATCTTCCTCCAGTCCTCCAGCCCATCAGATCTTGGGCATGCTCTCGAGCATTCCTGGCCTGTTCCAGACCAACCTGGCCCAGGATTTGAACTGTGGTCACCATGTGGGACCACCAGCTTCTTTTGAGCAGCACAATTCTGCTGCACCATGTAGCTGACTCTGTTCATTAGTTTAGAAATACAAACCAGAAAGTAATAATACCTTAGCTATAAGGAAGAGGTGAGTAGGGAGGAGTTAGAAAGTTATAATATGTACTTTGTTTCTGAATCATCCTGTCACCCAGGGTCTGGCAATGCAAGTTGGGAATAGAGGATAGTTTGTAAGGCAGACAGGACACTAGATATCCTCAAACAAGTGTTTGGTTGAGCAGAAGCTATAAAGCAGTCATTGTGCTAGATTTGTCACATGTTACTCTTTATTTATTTACAGGGATTTTTGCTATAGGGCGCATGCACTTGCCGGAGAGACAGAGACAGAAAGCAAGAAATTGCTCCCTGGGAGGATGGCCATACCACAGTCCCTTCCCCTCTATTCTCTAGATTTTGGGCCGCACACATATGTACCTGGTGTGAATTTTAAGCTGTCAGGTCCAGGACTCAAACCACAGTATACTACGTGGGAGTCCAGTGACAAAACCATTATACTATCTGGTCCCAACATGTTATTTTATTTAATTTTCATAACAGCCTTGGGGAAGGAGTTAGCATTAATCCCGACTTTATAGATGACAGAGAAATTGGAGTTCCGTGAATCAGAGGTGGTAACTTCTCCTAATCACGTTAATAGTGAGTAACAGATCTGGGAGACTGAATGTTCTTATCCATATTTCCCTGGCTCCAAAACCTGTTCCACTGCCACTACACCAAATGGCATTTTGCTCTGGTATCTGGAAGAGTGCTAATTATAATTATATTAGTCCTTAACTAGTTTCTTTTCATATCTATTCTAGTGTTTAATCACTATCATTATTAGCTCAGTTCTATCTTCTGATGAACAGATTCTGTGCTACAAGTAATTTTCATTGTTTGATCTCCTTTGGGATTGTACTGTTCTTGCTTAAAATAACCTTTCATATTAGACATATGATAGGCTTAATTTTCTTTGAAGCATCTAGAGAGAAATATTATATATCACCCCTTTTAGAATTTCCATAGGTCGTTTAATTTTAACCTGAGAAACGCAGAAGCAAGAAAATCCAATTTAGTGTGCAAAGAGAAAAGTATTTAATCTTTATTCATAGTAATTACTTGAACTGTTACATAAGGGAAAGACACACAGTTAGGACTTAAGCATGTTTTTTGCCTTTAGCTTTCATTGTTAAAGGAATTCTTTAGTATTTCTATATCTGTAAATTTAACCAGATTGTAAGTTGTTTCACTTAAAAGTAGAAATATTAAAAACAAAACAAAACAACTTGATAGGAGCAGCCTTGCCTGTATGTCAGTTTATTTTTTAAATGGCCTATTCAGAAACCTTGGGGGCAAGAGAGAGCTGCTGCTTTTGCAGTGAATGCAGTGGAAGACTAGTCTTTGATATGCTCTATTGTTTTTCTCTGAAAGCAGCTCACTGTATCAGATTGTTTTTGTTTGTTTATTTTTGTTTTGTTTTCCTGAACCCTTTCACTATGTCTTTTTTCTTGAAAATGTCAATTTAGTTTACTGTGAAACTAGAGTAAGACAAACCTAAAGTGCTTTAAGTTAGACTCCTTATCTTAACATTTTCTTAGGATAGTAAGTATAAAAAGCATTAAAATTATTAACCTAACTCATGTATTCAGCAAATATGAGGAGTTTTCAAAAAGATCAAAGACAACATATATCATGAAAAAACTATGCATGATTTCAAAATCTTTTTGCACTACAATAAACTCACACTAGTTTGTTATAACATGTCTGAATAGGATTTAGTTTGAGGGCCTGAGAAGGGTAAGACATCAGTTTGAAAAGAACTGCTGTCAGAACAACATGAATTCTGTTAAAATTGACACAAGAACACACATATTTACAGTGAAGCTTGAGTGGAAGAATGGTGAAATCATAGTTATTTCACAAAAAGTTTATAAAGACTGTGCCCTGGAGAAATCAGCAGTTTACAAATAAATAACTCATTAAATCAATCATTGATTAAATGTATTAAAAAATGTAAAAAAAAAAGAAACAAAATATAAAATAAAAAAATTAAATCAGTCATTCAATTAATTAATTATATCCAAAATGTGTTTATTGGGATGGCTTCCCACTCATCTTGAGTCAGGGTGCTTTTAGTGCTGCTTCCTCCTGAAGGAACATCCTTCTGTAAGCCTCGCTTTTCCTCCTGTAGGCTGGCAGAGGACAGAGGAGCAGCCAATGCATAAAACTACCGTCTGTGCCTGGCTAAAGACTGTGGTGAATGTATAGCATCCTGGGCACGTACATCCATGAAGAAGGAGTCTGGGCTCTGCACCAGGCACTTCTTGTGTTTCCTCTTCTCTTCTTCTGGAGAGGGATGAAGGAGGTCCTTTGCGAGAGGCATGTTCTTGTGGGGAGGTCACCACCACCAGAACCAAATGGATAACTCATTTTAAAAAGGGCTAAGACAACATTGAAGTTGATGTTCGTAGCAGGAGATTATCCACATCAATTTGCAAGGAAAAATTAATCTTGTTCTAGCCCTAATTGGAGAGGACCCACAAATAACAACAGAAACAATAGCCAACACCATAGATGGCTCAATTGATTAAGCTTACGTCATTTTTTCCCCTAAGTTTATTTATTGCTATTGAGAGAGAGAGGCAGACATTTCCAACAGTGTCTTCATGCCATAGTCTAGTCCTTTTCTCTGCTAGCCTGGATCATGGGCATGTGTGCCTAGAATGCTTAGGGAGGCCCCAGGATGTGAACTTAGAACCTTTCCTATGTGGGTCCAGTGGTGTTGTTAACTGCTGTGCCACCACTCAGGCCCTGCTTATACAATTCTGACCAAAAAATTAAAGTTGAGCAGATTTTCTGCTTAGTGGGTGCCAAAACTGTTGTATCCAGATGAATAGCAGGCAAAAGCAGAACTTTCAACAGAATTTTTACACAAGCAGGATTAAGATCCTGAAGCATTTCTTCCAAGAATTGTAACAAGAGATGACACATGACTTTACCAGTATGATCCTGAAGACAAAACACAATCAAAACAATGACTACCAGAGGTGGAAGTGGTTTAGTTAGAGCAAAGGTTATGGCACCAGTTTTTTGGGAATGCTAAAGGCATTTTATTGACTTTCTGGAGGGCCAAATAACAATAACATCTGCTTATTATGAATGCATTTTGAGTTAGGCGAAGGTTTAGCAGACAGATTCCCAGGAAATGCCCAGGAAAAGCCCTTCTCCACCGTGATGATGGTCTTGCTCATGCCTTTCGTCAAACAGGGACCGTTTAGGGAGAGCGTCAATGGGAAATCATGAGTCATCCACCTTATAGTACTGATTTGGCTCCTTTTTCTTTTTTTGTTTCTTAATCTTAAATTTTTAAAGGGCACCCATTTTTCTTCAGTTAACGATGTAGAGAAGATTGCACTGATATGGTCAAATTCCCAGGACCCTCAGTTCCTTAGGAGATGGAGTAAATTGGCTGGTATCATTGCTTATAAGAGTGTCTTGACCTGAGTAGAATTTATGATGAGAAATAAAGTTTATATTTTAATTTTTTTGTCTTTCAATTTCATTTTACATGAACTTTTTGAAATCCTCTTGTATTTACTTATACCAGCCACATATTTTATAAAATTGACCTATTATGAAGAATAAGTATTAGGTTAAACCACAAGACATTGTCTTTTTGTAGTCAAAAATTGGTTGAATATTGGCAAACTCTTTTAGTTCATCTTAATACATGAATCTGGAATTCTCAAAATGTGTCCTGAAGCATTCATTTATACCATGATATTCAGCTACTTTTCCAAGGAGAGAAAAGTCTTCGAAGTTATTTATGATTAACTTGAATTAACTGTTAGCTGTTTAACTAAAATTTTAAATTGATAATACTTTCTTTCCATTTTCTTTTTTGTTGTTAGTGCTGGTCTTTTTTAAACAGCTGGCAGTTGTCCTTTAGGTCTCTGAGAGAGATCTGAATTCATTTATAAAAGATGTAGAATCTTTAAATGCATGTTGTTTACTGCGTTTCCCCCCCCCCCTTTTTTTAGTGATATGTGATCTGGTTGTGTTTTCAAAGGTTTGTGCTTTCTGGAAATCTGCATGGTGGCTCAGTGGTAGCAAGTTATCCTTTTGATGATTCTCCAGAACACAAGGCCACTGGAATCTATAGCAAAACCTCAGATGATGAAGTCTTTAAATACTTGGCAAAAGCTTATGCATCAAACCACCCCATAATGAAAACTGGTGAGCCTCACTGTCCAGGAGATGAAGACGAGACTTTCAAAGATGGGATCACGAATGGCGCACATTGGTATGATGTGGAAGGTATGCAAAACACTGAATTTGCTCTATTTTCTCCCTTCTTCATTTACCTTTTGTAAGTATATCGAGTGGGGAAAAAAGACACTGGAGAATTCTTATTTTTTGAAATTTTAGTTCTTTTTAATTTGAAATAAACCCACAGTGAAAGTGAAAGAAGACTATATGGCAAAAACCTAAATATTCTTCATTTATGTTCACCCACTGTCGTCTTTCCCCAATGCTCTGTTCTTCCCTCTTTTTCTCTTTCCACATACATACATGATCATGGAATGCTCTTTTGTTTTCTAAATTGTGGTAAAAAAAGACATGTAACAAAATTTTGCCATTTTTAAGTGTAAATTCAGTGGTAGGTATTATTGTCAGTGTTGTAACCATTACTATTTCCAAAACTTATACATCACCCCAGATAGAAACTCAGTAATCATTAAGTAATAATTCCCATCCCACTTTATCCCTCCACTCAGCCATTGGTAACCTCTAATCTACTTTCTCTCTTGGTGAATTTGCCTATTCTCAATATTTCATTTAACAGGAGTCACAGTATTGGTTCTTTTTTCTCTGACTTATTTTGCTTAGCATTATGTTCTTAAGGTTCATCCATTTATTATCATGTATCAGAACTTTATTCCTTTTTTTTTTTTTTGGAGAGGTTTTTTTTTTTTTTCTTGCTATAGGGCACGTGCGCTCGCCCAACAGACAGAGAGAGACAGAAAGACAGAAAGCGAGAAATCACCCCCCAGAGGGGATGGCCACGCCGCAATCCTTTCTCGTCCATTCTCCTCTCAGGATCCTGGGCACACACGCACACGCACCCGGTGTGAGTTTTTTTTTTAGAGGTTTTCGCTATAGGGCGCATGCACTTGCCAGACAGAGACATAGAGACAGAAAGTGAGAAATCACCCTCCAGGGGGGATGGTCATGCTGCAATCCCTTCTCCTCCATTCTCCTCTCGGGATCTTGGGCACACACGCACATGCGCCCGGCGTGAGTTTTAAGCCACCGGGTCCGGGACGCGAACCGCGGTCGACTACGTGCGAGTCCAGTGACATAGCCATTACGCTAACTGCTGGTCCCAGAGAACTTTATTCTTTTTGATGGCTGAAAATTCCTTGTACGTATACATTTTATTTATCCATTTATCTAGTGCTCCCTTAATGAGCACTGGGTTGTTTCTACCTTGGCTACTGTGAATAATCTTGTAATGAACATGGTTACAGGTATCTTTTAGAGTTCTTGGTGTTAATTATTTTATTATACTTAGGAGTAGTAGTTTTTCTTTTTTTTTTTTTTTTTTATGTTTTTGCCATGCATTCATAGAAGAAAGAGAGGGAAAGTGAGAAATCATACCCCTCTCCCCCAGGGGAAATGACCATGCCGCAGTCTCTTCTATGTTCTCTTGGAATTTGGGGCACACATGCACACATATTGTGTGTGCTTTTCAAGCCCCTGGGTCTGGGACTTGAACTGTGGTCAGCCATGTGGGAAGCTAGTGCCTTAACCACCATGTCACCTGTTGGCCCTAGTTATTCCAAGTTTATCTTTTGAGGAACTGTCAAACTGCTTTCCATAGTGGCTGTACGATTTACTTACCTATTAGCAATAATATCTGGGTTCCAAGTTCTCATAAAATTCTATCCCAAGGGTTCCAAGTTCTTGTGAAATACTATTATTGAAAGAATTGTTGAAGTGAATTTGAATTATTGGTCTAGTTATAAATGTATAAAAACAATAATTATTCCTTGTTCTTTTAAAAGCTTTCTATGTACTACTAGAGGGCATGGCCATGCCACAGTCCCTTCTCTTCCATTCTCTCCTCGGGATCTTGGGCACTCACACACATGCACCCAGCGTGAGTTTAAGCCACCAGGTCCAGGACTCGAACCATGGTCAACAACACAGGAGTCCGGCGACATAGCCATTACGCTAACTGCTGGTCCCATGGCAGCTTGCTTTCTCACTCTCTCTTTTGTTGCCCCTTTTTTTTTTTTTTTTTTTTTTTAAAGAAAGATTTTTGCTATAGGGCTCATGAGCTTTCTGGAGAGACAGAGAGAGAGATAGGAAGTGAGAAATCACCCCCCCGGGGAGGGGGCACACTGCAATCCCTTCTCCTCTCTTCTCTCTTCAGTATTTTGGGCATGTACACACCTGCGCCCAGCATGAGTTTCAAGCTGCAGATCCAGGATTCGAACTGCAGTCTTCCATGTGGGACCCCAGAGACGTAACCATTATGTCATTGGCCATCTGCTGGTCCCTAACTTTTTCTCTTCTTAGAACCTGCCCATGGTGACCTATCTAGTTTTTCCTTACCTTTTTATTGTCAGTCACATTATAAAGTGTCTTATCACATGTCTCGTAATGTGTTTTTATTTAAACGTTTGAATTGCTCTTTGACTTTTTTCTTTTTTTGTTCTTTGACTTTTTATGTTAAGTCATAAGTGTCACAAATGTCTGTTTTGAGGACTTCATATTTCTAGAGTTTTCTGACTCTCTGTAATTTCTTCCAGTGTTTCCTGTATAGAATAAGCACCCACAAAAGTGGTTTGAACTATTTATAAGTCAGACTTTCCTTCCATAACGGTTAGTGATTTGACAGCCATTCATTTTTTTTTTTAATAGATCAGACGGGGTTTGGAGGGCCAGCAGGTGACATGGTGGGTAAGGTTTTGTACTCCCACATTGATGACCGAGGTTCAAGTCCTGGACCTGGCAGCTTGCTTTCTCACTTTTCCTCTCTTTCTCTGCCTCTCTCTGGTGAGCGGGCATGCCCTATAGCAAATTAAACAATAGTAAAAACAATAAATAAAGTTAAATAAAATAATTCTTTTTAAAAAGAATTATTAATAAAGTTAAATAAACATATTTATTTTTAGGAACCAGCAGTTAGCGTAATGGCTATGTTGCTGAACTCCCATGTAGCTGACCGCGGTTCAAGTCCTGGACCTGGTCACTTAAACTCACGCCGGGCACGTGTGCACGCATGCCCAAGATCCTGAGAGAAGAATGGAGGAAAAGGGATTGCGGCGTGGCCATCCCCCCCGGGGGGGGGTGATTTCTCACTTTCTATCTCTGTCTCTCTCTCTCTTTCTGGCAAGCACATGCACCCTATAGCAAAAACCTCTCCCCCCCCAAAAAAAATATATATATGTATATATATATTTTTTTTTAATTTGATGAAAGAGAGCGGGAGAGAAAGCAAACTACCAGGTCCAGGAATCGAACTGCGGAATGCCATTTGGGAGTCCAGCGCTCTTAACCACTACACTACCTGCTGGCCCCTAAATAAATAATTCTTTAAAAAAATAGATCAGGGCCTGGGACCAGCAGTTGGTGTAATGGCTCTATCGCTGGACTCCCATGTAGTCGACCACAGTTTGAGTCCCGGACCCAGTGGCTTAAACTCATGCCGGGTGCATGTGCGTGCGTGCCCAAGATCCTGAGAGGAGAATGGAGGAGAAGGGATTGCGGCGTGACCATCCCTCCTGGAGATGATTTCTCACTTTCTATCTCTCTGTCTCTCTCTGTCTTTCTGGCGAGCACACACGCCCTATAGCAAAAACCTCTCTTCCCCCCCCCCAAAAAAATAGATCAGGCCATACTTTAATGTATGATTCTTATATTTCAATCTTCAGTAAATATATTTCATAAAACTTAACTTTGTGAGCTGGTGGTTTTTGTGATTTAGTCAAGTTGTTTCAATACTTTGAGATGATGTTACTTAAGATAAGGGGTTGAAAAATAATTTCCTTTTTGAAAAAAAAATAAAATTAGGAATAATTTCTATTGGCAATGATTGAGGAAGGTAAGTATATCTTATACTACTTAAATAAATATCCTACCTTGATAGAAACTAAGTGTATTTTGGTCTAGTTATCAGATTCTTCTGATTCTTTAAGCATCTAAAGAAACTTAATTTTGCTGCTGCCATTGTTATTTTTATAAGCATCAACTTATCCTCTGTTTTAGCTGAATGAGAAGATGTGATTTCTTCAATCACTAGCTAATTTTTCTCCCCACCTTAGCAAATATCAAGCCATGTCTCCTTGAAGAGGAGACTGTGATGGTTTCAGTAGTTTCAGTTTTGTTTATCGCATGTGGGACTGCAGTGAGCAAGATGTTGTGAAACCTTGTGACTAGGCATATATTCAAACCTGAATGTCCCGAAGAATTTTACTGATGCTCTATGTGATGTATTCAGAAACTCTAATTTAAAGAAGTACAGGCCTCTAGAGCTGAAAGCCAATACATTAATCTAGCCCAACCCTTTTGCTTTATAAAAACATCAAAGCCTGGGGTCAGCAGGTAGTGTGGTGGTTAAGGGCGCTGGACTTCCACATGACCAACCATGGTTTCAGTCCCAGACCTGGTGGCTTGCATTCTCACTTTGTCTCTCTCTCTTGTACTCTCTGGTCAAACTGAAAAAAATAAGTAAATAAATAAATAAAGTTAAATAAGTATTTAAAAAAGTCAAAGCCTGAGGGAACAAATAACTTGTACAATATATTTATTCATTTAGCGAAAACTTACTGAGTATCCTCCATGTCCCATATGCTATATTGGGTGATGGAATACAGTGGGAGCAAAACAAAAATGGTTCCTGCTCTCAAGGATCAGACAGTGCTATTAGTGCTGTGGAAGGTCGGTGTCATCTGCCCCTACAGTCTTTACCTTCACTGCCAACATTGACTCAGCATGTCTAACTGCCTGTGCGGATAGGCCTTGCTTCTCTCAACATGTCTCTCAAACCTGCAGGATTCATCTAGAAATCACTGTCCTAATAAGGCCTGTGAATTAGTCATGCTCACCTGCTAAAGCCTCATTCTGGGAGCCAGAGCTGGACTTGTTTATGGAATAGGGTGCCTTTCTTTGTCTTCTTTTTTCTTTCTTTCTTTCTTTCTTTTTTTTTTTTTTTTTTTTGAGGTCACACAGTGTGCTGATTTGTATGCCTTTGCCTACCATTCTTTCTCCACAGCTTTGAATACAATATAAAATCTGCCAATGGTTTA